CGTTTAGAGTTAACTTTTAAATTATGCTTGATTATATTTTCAAGCTTAAAAAGAAGAAGGATGCTTGTTGATAAGAACATGGTGTGGTATGCAGAGATAAGCGTTGGTACATTTTTTTGTTAGAGAGATAATAGAACAAATCATGGATTTGGAACTTGTTATATATTTCTTTTTAGTTTTTTTCTTTGTTACTACTTTCACTAGAGAATGTTTAGCCTTTCAAAAGATGAATGTTGGTTTTTCTAGTGTTGGATGGAATGACATTGTGGTAGTTTTGTTTCAAATTTGTTTATAGAGATGATTTTATGATATTTTTCTATATTGAGTTAAAATGTGCTATGTCGTTCGTGAAAGCTTCACCATATTAGTCACAATTCATGAGGCAACATGTGTCATTCATAGACGACAATTTGTCTCCCCCTAAGACATTGGTGAAGGGACATGTGATCGTCCCCACAACTTTCAAATGTGACAATCTCTCATCCCCAAAGACACCAATTAATGACACCTAGTCGTCCCTAGAATTCATGTAGTTGATATTTTAGCGTCCCTGATGATACCACTTAAAGGACAATAGGTTGTTCCTATAAGTTATATAGGTGGCAAATTGACATCCCTGAAGACACTTCCTAAGGGATGATTGGTCGTCTCAACCATTTTATAGGTGACAATTAGGCGTCCCCAAAAATACAGTTTAAGGGACAATTGATTGTCCCCACAAGTGATACATGTGATAATGTGTCGTCCCCAAAGACACATGCTAAAGGACAACAAGACGTTCATATGAGGGACATAGGGAACAATTAGTCGTTCCTAGAAGGTGCATAAGTGACAAGTCGTCGTCCCCAATACACAAGTTAAAAAACAATTGTTTTCCCCTATAAGTCATAGGCGACAACGTGTCGTCTCTAAAGATATAGAATAAGAGACCACTTGTAGTCCTCGTATAAAGTTTCTGGGGACACTTTTTGGACTCCAATTTGATACCTATGAGAATGACATGTCGACCCTACAAAAAAAGGGGACGATATATTATCCCCATATAGGTCCAACACAACCATGAAATCAATTAACGTGGGACAACAGTTTATCCATGTAAATGATGTTTAGGGGACGACTTATTGTCCTTGCAGTTATAGTTATAGGAACGACATGTTGTCTTTCATGGAGAAAAATGAGACAATGATTTGCGAGTATCAGGGACAACTGTCGTCCCTAGTAATGTGGACAACCTAAAAAAAATTTTATCCTTAAAAGAATAGAGGACACGAGTATAGGGAACCACGCATTAGGGACGATTTTTCCTATTTTCGGGGACGACTTTTGTCGTCCCCAAACCTTCTCTTCTTTGTAATGAGATTTACTTCTAACAAAGAGTGCCATGGTACAATGTAAATAGTTCACCAGCTGATTCCATATGTATGTATAGATCTTATAGATATACAAGTGTTATTGTCATTTTGCTATTCATAGAACTATATATAAACCACCACAACTCTAATTTTCATAATTCTTCAATTGAAATTGCCCCAATCCCCTCGCCATATTAGCTGAGTGAAGCTACTTCTAATGAAATTGATCATAGGTAAACTGTTGAGAATCTGACAGTAGGCAGACTCTAAATAGCACACATTTTTCACATACGGAAGGTCATATGATATTTGTCATTAATATACTTTCAGGTTATGTTTGTTAGGATCTTGAGTTGTATCCAAAACGTATCTGTAACGAGACAAAACATAAACATAACACAAGACGATTTACGTGGTTTTCAATATTGCGGAGTGCAATATCGACTAGTACATGGGAGGAAAATGATATCGTATTCGTTACTTTCTGCATCTGGTTACAAGAGATTATATATAAACCTAATCCTAGCTGCCGAACTAGGTAATACAAGACTAATGGGCCTACAACCAATGCAACAATAATCACACGTCATAGGCCTACATATAATTGGGCTATACTACATACTCTTAACAATGTTATCATATAGGTTCCTAAACGCGAAGCGTAACGAGCGGACTTTCCTAGTATACATTATTATATAGTGAACGGCTATTTGCCGCCAACCAAATTGCTATTTGCCGCCAACTAAAAAAAATGGAATTCAAATTTTGAAGTTTCCCTTCCTTCCCTTCCTTTCATTCTATAAATTCGGATACCATTAACTAGGGGTGAACAAACACACCCGCAAACCGACCCACCCGTCCAACCCGAACCAACCCACCCGTATTTATCGCTAAAACGAAGGTTTTGGGTTGAGTGAGGGTTTTCTTTTGTACAACCCGCCTCTTTTGGGTTGGGTTTGGATTTTGGATTACACAACCCGTAAAACCCGACCCAACCCGTGTTCCAACTATTAGTATGAGTTCGGATCTAAAAAATATTTATGTAGTATATAGTCATATACTTATGAGAAAATTAAGATATTTCGCCATGTTTTTCTCTCATGATCTCCCTAATCTAATGCATTCTTCGACTTAAAGTTTAGACATAAATTGAATATAGTAATGATTCACGTAATCCTTTTTCTTGTGTACAATTTTAATAGAATAACATATGATGGATGCGTTTGTTTATAACATTTTTAGCCTATTTCAACAAATATCGTGAAAAAAACAAGACATATGTTGAAATAAATAATATTTTACTAAAATTTAAACAACATTTGTAAATTTTCATACCTTTCCGGTAAGTTTTCCAATTTTTTGGCAAGTTTTCCAGTTTTCCGGCGAAAAACACGGTGGCCCGAAAAAAAATTGTGGCCGGAACGCCGCCGAGCCGAAATTTTTTTCGGCCGGTCGCCGAACACGCCGGCCAAAATTTGTCCGGCGGCGTGTTCGTCGGCCGGCCGAAAAAAAATTGCGGCCGGGGCGACGACGGGCCGCAAAAGATTTTCGGCCGGGCGTCGCACCGGGCGCAAAAAATTTTCGGCCCGGCGGCGCACCGGCCGCAATATTTTTTCGGGCCACCGTGTTTTTCGCCGGAAAATTGGAAAACTTGCCGGAAAAATTTTCGGCCCACCGTCTGTTTGTTGCAAATCGTCGGAAAAATTGTTCAAAACTATAAAAAATTGACGCGCCTGCTTAGTGATGATTCATGGATGCGTGTCCGCAGTTTACGTCGAGGATGGGCTTTCCCGGTGGTTTTCCAGCGAGCGTCGATTTTTTCTGATTCAATACGTTTTCTGAAAGTTGAATATGTTGTAGATTGTGAAACTTCTTAACCAAGGATATACATATATACTTTCTTTTTTTAGTTGGCGGCAAATAACAATTTTTTGACGGCAAATAGCAAGCCCATTATATAATCACTCATCCAAATGCGTCGTGTAAATAACCATTGTATTTGTTGGCATGCATTCTCTCTCTGGTTTGTGAACCGTTTCGCCTTCATATGCACACATAGTTGCTCGTTGGCGTGAAATCTGGGGGAGGCATTGAATATGAAAAGAAAACACACAGGGGAAGCCGGGAAGGGATAGAGTGAGGACAGAAGAAGCAGTCAAAAAGTGCCCCTTGCCTGTCTGAATTTTGGGGAATTCAAGTACCGTTACATTACATGCATGAAATTTGCTGTGGTGTCCTACAGTTTAAGGGCACACCCTTATGTATATTATCTGTACACTGCCCTCGATCCATTTGTCCTCTGGATTATATGCACACCTTTGCTTTGTCCTCCCCACCGCCATTTGTCAACTCTCGCCGTTGCATGCAACAAATAGACTAGCTAGCTAGCTGCTTCCGCCATTCTTATCCGGCTCGAAGCTCTGGTGGGTGAAGAAAAGACGTGACTGACCATGGAAGCAAATAAATGGGCTGGGGATAATTAAAGAGATCCATTAAATGTGTTATTATTTTTAATGGATAGGCGTTGTAATTAATTAGGTGAAAGGAAATAATCAGATTCATTAAATGTTCATGGAGATATGACAACAAATGGCCACCATGCAACATCAGAAGAAATATTCTAATAGCTTTTTTGACGGGTTGTTTAAACGAGTTATTTTGATTCAAATAATTCATTCTTAATTATCTGAGTCAAAACAATTCATTTGGTAATGAGAATATTCAATATGGTAATCAGGGACAAAGTTAGGTAGTAAGGAGGTGTGTTGGCACCTTAAAATTTCATGAGAGACCTAGCTATATTTCGTTGGTATAAAAAATTTGAATTTTGGGACTTCCGACACACCTCCAGTAATCATAACTGACATACATATGATACATTCATTACGTTACAAGAAATTTAAATTGATTGAATAAAATAATTCATTCTTAGTTATTTGAGTCAAAACAATTCGTTTGATGTTGAAAATATCCAATGTGATAATTTCATTGTTAGTAAATAATTCAAAACGAGTTAATTGATATAACACTTCTTATTTGAAGCAACTCATCTTATTAATTATTTTTCTTTCCAATTTATTAGAAAATAACATAATCAAATAACTCGTATGAATTCTCTAACAAAATGAAATAATCTCACTTTAATAAAATCGAAATAACACATTATATTGTATCATTTGATCACAATATATCACATATATATATAAAATAATTCATCCAAAAACCACCCGTATTTTTTTTTATCGTCAAAGTCTAATGCATACATTTAAGATTACTTCGACTACATTTCCTATTATTGCCCATCATCATATATAGATTTAATGTTATGGAAACAATATCTACAAGAGAAAAAGGTTATGGAAGCAATATAAAAACAAAGAGAGAAGAAAGAAGGCAGGTGGATATTGGAAACAAAATCTAAAACACAATCTCGCAATAAAAACAAACAAAACAATAATTTGCACTTTAAAAGGGCCACAAAACACTTCACTAACCCACACGAGTCATTTTCTCTTCTCCCCCACCTTCTTCTTTCCCCTCAATCTCATGGCCTCCACTCCTCCAAATGACGATGATCACACCACCACTACCCTTCACTCCCGCCGCCACCAACCAGTTCCAAAGCCGGCCGCCGCCGCCGCCTGGTACATGGCCCTCCTGGTGACAAACTACCTCCTCCTCTTCGTGGGCTCCATCTCCTCCACCTTGCTCTCCCGCTACTACTTCATCCACAAGGGCCGCAGCCGGTGGGTCTCCACGTGGGTCCAGACCGCCGGCTTCCCTCTCCTCCTCCCGCCCATCTACCTCCCTTACTACCTCTTCCGCTCCACTCCCCGCCGCCCCTTTTCCCATTTTACCCTCCCCATCCTCCTCCTCTCCCTCTTAGTGGGCCTACTGTTGGGCCTCAACAACCTCCTCTTCTCCTGGGGGAACTCCTACCTCCCCGTCTCAACTTCCTCCCTCCTCCTCTCCTCCCAGCTCCTCTTCACCCTCATCCTCTCCGTCTTAATCGTCAAACAGAAGGTCACCTTCCAGAATCTCAACTGCGTCATCCTCCTCACCCTCAGCTCCATCCTCCTTGGGCTCGGCTCCTCCGACGACAGGCCCACTGGGCTCACCCGGTCCAACTATTTTGTCGGCTTCTTTTGCACCATCGGTGCGGGCCTCCTCTTCGCCCTCTACCTCCCCGTTATGGAGCGCATTTACAGGCCAGTCAATCTCTCATCATCACCACTTTAATTTAATCATAAGGGTGGTCTAATTTCTTTTAATTAAGAGATTGATTCGAATTTCTGAATCACAAAATATTAATTATTTATTAATATTTTTTTTGCCTTTACATATATATATATATATATATATAAATCTATCTATTAAAGAAAAAGAGATCGAGAAGTAGAAAATATATATGATGTGTCAATTAATTTTATGTGACAGACACATTACAATTACATGCAGGCGGGTGGACAGCTACTTGATGGTGATGGAAATGCAGCTGGTGATGGAGGCGGTGGCGACGTTGCTGGCGGTGGTGGGGATGGTGGCTTCCGGCGGCGGGGTGGAGGAGATGAGGAGGGAGAGCGAGGAGGTGTTCGACAAAGGGGCGAGGGCGTACTGGGGGACGGTGATCGGGAACGCGGCCACGTGGCAGCTCTGCTTCATGGGGACGGCGGGGATGGTGTATCTGACGTCGTCGCTGACGGGAGGGATATGCATGACGGCGCTGCTGGCGATGAACGTGGTGGGCGGGGTGGTGGTGTACGGGGAGGAGTTCGGCGGGGTGAAGGCGGTGTCCACGGTGTTGTGCGTTTGGGGTTTTTGTTCCTATGTGTATGGGATGTACGTTAAGATGAAGAGAGGGATTAATAATGATAGCGTTACTAGTGGTGGAGAAGAAGAAGATGGTGGTGATAATGGCAACGGCGGTGGTGGTAAAATTCAGGTGACGGAGATGGGTCGGGGAGATGCAGTAGCCAACACTGTCTGATCTGATGTGGAAGAGACTGATGATATCTGCTTTTCTTTTTTCGTTTCTTTTCTTTTCTTTTTCGGCCTTAATTTGTTGTTTTGCTACTTTTGGGTTCAAGGGTGGAGTCTGTGGGCTTAGTTAGACTTAGACGGGGTTGTTCATCTTATGCTTCGAATTTTGATTACTCTAAGCTGTTATATATAATATATATCATAATTATAGGGTGGGAGAGAGACCTCTCGGGAACAAAAAATAGATAGGTAGATAGATATAGATAAATTGTATTATATGATGAAGAAGGTTTTCTTCAACTGGCTTAATTAGAGTTGGTATGGAATCAATTTGCAACTACAGTTCTGATTTATATAAGGAGGATGATGTGGCGTGTACGTGCCATCGTTGTCCTTCTATTTTAGATTGAGACTATTTTTTTTTATGAGTGTGCGCATTGCTTGTATTTATAGAAAAGCAAAGGTGGGAAATTTATAAGAAGTGAGTTGGGGAGAATTGAATCTTAAATTTTTAGATTTTGAATACTCATTTAATTCCTTAGATCTTTGAACAATAATTTCGAACTGTCCATTTTTTTATAACTATGATTGTTAAGAAAATATTTTTTTAACCAAATGATATGTTTATCCTTATATACGAGTATCATAGTGGCTGGAACAATATTGTGAATCTGTTTGTAATGATATTTGGTGGGATAAATAAAAAAAGGGTAAGGGATAGAGTACAAGAAACAAAATCTCACAAAGCAAAAGCTATAAAATCTTTCTGGTTATTTAATAACAAAAATCTTTCTGGTTATGAGAAATTGATTTTTATTTTTTAGAGATTTGAAATCTTTAAAGTTAATATCAATGTTACAAAAAGTAACAAAAAAAACTTTCTTCTAAGTCTATGAATTCGGCGAATCCATTAGCTAGTATGAAAAGTTACCAGCTCAACTTAAGAGGTTGGAAAAAATGAAAGATAATAGTTCAAACAACATAGAGTAAAGTTATATATTTTGAGTTACGGGACAAGTCCGCGAGGTAGAGAAGATTTGTCAATATTTTAATTTACATTATTGGTGGTGTTGACGGTGATAGATTAAACATCTTCGAAAGCCAGTGTGTTTCTTTCAATTCACAATTTTAAAAAATGATTAAGAATAATATTCATACTAATTTTTCGAAGCACTGGTCCTGGAGAGAATAGGCCATTCAATAATAAGATTCCTAGAATGCTATGATTTTGAACCTTACAAGTTTAGAGAATAGGCCATTCAATAACAAGATTCATAGAGTGCTTTGATTTTGAACCTTGTAGATTAATACCATTATCATTTCAAGTACATTTGAATTGGTGATAATATTTGTTAAACACTAATATGGTTGCCATGACAACAAGGGCGAAATTAAATTGTATTTTACCAAAAAGATAATCTATGATTTCCAATTATATGATAGCAAAAGCTTGATATAGGGTCAGATATGTATATCAATAAATCAAACTATAGTATAAATTAGGTTTAGCAATTAACAATGCTGCGTGAAACTTTACATACCCGACTTGTCGCATAGTAGAAAAGGCGAGTCTCCTTTTGGTCCTTTTTCTATATCGCGGGGAAAGGTAGTTTTAAAGTAATTAATTATGTTTATTGGTGAATGGAAATCCTTTTTGTTTTTTTATGAAGCAATTGGTAGATGCTAAGTAAGCTAACCCAATGACGATGATGAATGGGAGGCAAAATAAATGGAGTTTGATTATGTTTGTCTCCCTTGGCTAATCTGCTTTTATTATTAACAAAAATCAAAACATCCTTGATCAATTATTCCTATTTACTTTATTGTTTATCATTTTGTCTCTATCTTTCGTTCTAACACTATGGCTGCATTCATGAATGGAAGCGAGCAATGGGTGTGTTCCATTAAACAAATTATGGGTGTGCGTTAGTGGTAGAAAATTGTGTGTGGATGATATGAGGTTTGATTTCTTTTATGGAAGTGATTGTTTATAATTTTGTAAATAATATTCGAATAAGAGTGTTTGATGATGATGATGCAAAGAGACACCATCACTTGATCAAATTACTGCAATCCCGCAAGTCTCTCACCATGCAGCTCCAAAGGGGATTTCGATTGGGCCATTTCCATAACATGACGAGATTGGTATGAACTCACAAACCACGAAGCAGGAAACCCGCCAACAAAAGGAAGCAAGTTTACTTTCAGTTCAGAGCAATCCGAAGACAACGGGTAACCCTGGAATGCATACGCGGAAGAGTGGGGAAGGTCATCGAGTCCACGCTACATAGAAAGAGCCATAAGAGGCATAATAAACGGGTCGTTTGCTTCATGTATTTGAAAAATGAAGGTTTTGGTAAAACCTGGGTTTTGGAAAACCATGGATATATGATGGATTTGGTGGCATTATGGATTTGAACAAGTCTATTGTTTGCTTGATGAATTTGATTATGGACTTTGTTTGATTAGATTTGTGGATATTAAATACAAATTACCTAGTTACCCTTATTTAATTATATTTCTATATTATAATCCAAATCTTTCATTTAAAACTAATCCAAAACATAGAAAGAAATTTTAAACTCTTTACCACTATGTGGATTAATAATTCAACTACAAATATAGAAATGTATTACAATTTGGCACTAATTAACAATTCATTTTGGCACTAATTAAAAATTCATCTAATAATCCTTCATAAAAAAATAATTCATCTAATAATGTACGCAATTGTATGTATCAATTGCAGCCAATTGCTCGCTTTATTGCTACAACACATCATCTTCTTGCTAACTCACCGATGTGGAATCCGACAATCAATCAAATAATAATGTACAAGATGAGCATAAAGTGTTTCTAGGTGAATCTAACAAATCACATATACATTCATATTTAAATAAAATACGATATTACAAAATAAAATGATAAATTCTCAATTTTATAAAATACGAAATTATAAAAGTTTACAGTTGCATGACCATTGAATTAAAGTAGGACAAATTTGTAATTAAAGAAATAATTAAGGGTAGAAAGATAATTTACCATCATGGATTTTAATCCATCACCCAAATCCCACCTCAAGAGGTGGAACTTCCAAATCCGTGGGGTCCACGGATTTGGAACCCCAAAAGTGGTGGGCCCCACAAATTCCATCTCCCTAATTCCCTAAGGCAAACGATGGATTTTGATTCAAGTCCATGATGGATATATTTCCATGACCAAATCCATCATCAAAACCCTCAAGCAAACGACCCCATAATAAACATGTTGATGGTGCAGGAATCTATCCTCTTTGAATTCTTTGACAAGTTAGGGTCCAAACTCCTCAATTGGTTAATAGTTACGGTTTAGAGCGCCCCTCTGCGCTCTATTTCTAAAAAAAATAAAAAAAAAATAAAAGCCCTCAATCATTCATTTGGATATTTTCACTATTTTGTAGATTAAATTCTACCAGGATCCTGCAGTTCCATGGTGGATGAAGAGAAAACTCGGAGGAACTTGGAAGTTAAAGAGAAATAGGTCAATCAACTTATTAACAAGAGCTGAGTTACTTTACTAACTCTTGGAGTGATTAGCACCTTCTAAAGTCTTAATTCTCATAAATGGTAAAAAAGAAAAATGCAATATAAGTCATGATTTGATGGAATAAGCAGCCACAAGCACGCGCAAAGTTAAGAATTAGTTCCTTAAAAAAAAAAAAAGTTAAGAATTAGTGGAAAGTGGATCTTCCTTTAAATTCCATGGGCAGTGTAATTAGCATTAGTTAGTCAAATTTTTTTCAAAAAAGGTAATCATATATTGATAAAAAAAAGTTACATCATGAAATTTAATCAGACCAGAAAATCAAAGAAGCAACTCGCAGACCGGTACAAAAGAAGGGCTTTTCTAGCCACCAAATGGGCTACCCTATTACTACGCCGACCTACAAACCGCACACTGAAGCCAGTAGAAAGTGATAAGCATTGCAAACCTTCTTCAAGAAGGCTCCAATCCTACTATCCCTGATATCAGACTGGCGGAGCTTGTCAATAACCACCTTAGCATCCCCTTCAAATCGCACCCCGGTAAACTCATCCGCTAGACACCAAAGAATAGCCTCCCGGAGAGAAAGCACCTCCGCAACCAACGAATCATCAATCCCAGCGAATTGAAAACCTCGACCCAGGTTAACCTCCCTGGCCTGATTCATCACCAACATTCCTCCCGCCGAGTGGGACGCGCACTTGGCAGCCCCATCCCACTTTCAAACAATAGGGCAAGGGGTGTCATCAACCATAGGTTGCGCAGCTAGGGCCGGGACACTCTGAACCCTATCAAGAGGCAAATTGATCCATTCCTGATATTGTTAATTTAATTGCCGCATAAGAGTCGGGATCTCGAACTGTTTGCCCTCAAAGACACTCAATTGCGAGACGGCCAGATTCTCCACATAACAGCCATCAATTTGAGGATGTCTTGATCACTTTTTTTTTTTTGTTACAATTTAAGTGCTAAGTGGTGGGATGGGGTTATCTCTATAAGCACTTGAAAAATAAGATAATTTATAATCCCAACTAAGTGCGGGGAAAGGGAGGGTAAGCTTCGTCGCATATCTTAACTTTTGAGTTGTGATGATGAAATCAATCTTAATTATAATTAATTAGAAAGGTAAACGTTAGTGAAAGAATTAAGATGGGTCAGCTAAAAAGGTTATATATATTGTGGGTTACGTTTTGTCCTTTTCACTTACACTACTATTGAGAGCCGTATAGCAAGTTCATTAGCCGTATATTTTCGGGGTACTTTTTCATGCTACGTATAGAGATTTTTATAAAGTTGATGAGTGGACTAATTCTTCTAGAAATTTACTAATGGGCTAGAAGAAATTATGTACCAGAACAAAGGCTAATTGGAGAGGCAAATTTTATTAATCGAAATGGAAAATTACAGAAACAATATTTAATTTCAACATTGATGACACGAAAAAATATACATCTTTATTAAATTATTTTATGGATGTTTTCCACA